GTCTACAAGTATAAATAGACCCCATGGGTAAAGGAAATCGGGATCTCATCTAAAGTAAGAGAACTCTGGCCGATTTCCTCCCCTCTCCTCTCTCCTAAATCATCTTCCTTGCTATTGGTGTTTGTAAGCCATTAGAGGAGTGACATTTGTGACTCTAGAAGCTCCAAGACAACAAGATCAACAAGGAATTCAAAGGTATGGTTCTAGATCTGTTTCAATGTTGTTGTTTAACCTAATTAGGCATTAGAAGTCTTGGATTCAAAGCATGTTTAATTAGAAAGCCTAGATCCGAGCATTAGGGTTTTGCATGCGCACATAGGAAAGTTCTTATGGCTAAAACCCATCAACTATATCAATAGGGTCTAAGGCACCAAGGCCGGCCATTTATTGGAGTTGTATCCAGGTATTTTCTTGATATGTTTATTGATCTTCTAGATCTACATCCTGGTAGTTAGGATGGTATTATGTTAGTGACCTAGTTTAGGTTAGTATCCTGGTATATAGGATGATGCTATGATAGTGACCAGTTAGGTCGGTATCCTGGATATAAGATGGTTGTTGTGTTAGTGATCTGTTAGATCGGTATGGTTATCTGTTATATACATGCTTTGGAATATAATATATATGTGCACATGATTGTTTGATTGGCATGGGGGTTGGGTTGAGGCGGGTCCTGCTTCGTGTTGTAGGCCAACATACTTACGACAGACCGGATAGACTGTAGGCCCAGGAAGGCACATAGTCGTTGAAGGCCCCAAGAGGGCAGTCCAGACGTGCCGAGGCTCGTAGAGTGGGCCAGATAGATTGAAGGCACGGTGCGGGCGGTCCAATCATATTGTAGACTCAGATAGTGGACCAGGTGGACTAAGGCCCGGTGCGAGCGGACCAGTCACACTATCGACTCGAGACGCATGGTTGTTCTGTATATGTTGATATGATATGATTATGGTTATATGAGTTTGGTATTTTGGGGGTAATTCACTAAGATTTTGAGCTTACAGTTTCAGTTTGTTGTTTCAGGTACTTCTGGTGATCACGGGAAGGTGAAGGCATGATCGTACCGCTCCTCCTGCTGTTATGATTTTATGATTTGATGTTGGGATACTATGATATTTATTATTTTGAAAACAAACTTGTAATGTTAAATGGTTTTAAGTGTTTTGTAAAAGTTTAAATTTGGCATGATTTTTATGGTTGTTACAAGTTGGTATCAGAGCCTTGGTTTGAGTGAATTGGAGGAACATTCGTGTGAATCCAGTCTCAAATCGAGGAAATATTTTCAAAATGATTTTGAATGGTTTTCAAAATAAGTAAAGGAGGATGCAGGGTGTACGATCAACCGGAGCCAGTAAGTAGACCCCAAAATACCATACAATTATTGATTATGTGATATGTTAGAACGACATCCTAGTACTAGGCTAGGGATCTTCTGGAATTTCATGATAGAATTGCCTGATTACATGATGCCTGCTAGCCTAGGGTTTTCATTATATTAGATTGACATCATTACTGTAGTTGCTTGTGTATGTATCACGATTGTACATAGTTAAGATCTTGTAGCCCGAGAATGTTTGATTTGGCCATATGTTCTGTTCTTATTGATTAGGGATTAGGTTAGGATTGGATATTCAAAAGTCTATATGGTACATTATTATGTATGGCTAGCATACGCTAGTGCTGCAGGGTTGGTGGAAGTTTCATGAGTAGGTTATGCTAGGCCAGGAGGCCAGTCAGGAGATATTTAGCATTCCTCTAGGAGTGAGGATTGAGCGCTTGCTATGTTTATGTATTTTGTTAGGGTATTGTAATGATACTTAAGACAAATATGGGTAGGTCTAGAAGGTAGTGTGGGCCCATACTACTGAAAGCACAGGACCCATACGCGTAGCAAGGAAGTCAAAACCCCTAGGGTGTGGTTGGGGTTAGATTACCCGTCGTTTGGGCCATAAGACTTACCATGGGCCTTATTGGGCCTAAAATGTCTCACTTTATCATCATGGGCCTTAATGGGCTGTAAATGATTACTTGAACCTTAATGGGCCGTAAACCCTCATATGGGCCTAATGTGCAAAAACTTTCAATTTGGGCCTCATAATTTCGAGCATAATCTAGAAAAGGCCTAGACCCTTCCCTTCTCTTTTCTTTCCCCTCATTCTCGATTATATAAAAAATAATAATAAACAAAGGGGTGAATTAATGGCTTGACACCTCAACATTACAAGATGGATTTCCATGCAAGTTATACAACATATTTCTAAGTTAGTCTCATGTACCCATGCAACCATCTTGTTACAACTTATCTCTTCTCTTCTTCTCCCTTCTTATTCTCAGCCACACTCATCCCATCCAAACCTCACACCCTCACTTCTAAACTTCACTCATAACTCTCAAGAAAGCCTCTCACATTCCCATCTCTTAATTTCATGTGTATCTTGAGAAAGCTCAAGAACTCTTCTTCAAAGATCACCACTCATTTGGTAAGCTACTCTGTAAGCATAATGATTTGCTTCATTTTATGATAATCTCCACTTCTTAACACACCATTTCATGATCAATGCCCTTAGATCCATCTTAAGTTCGAAAAACTCCACTCAAGAAGCTTCTAAGGCCGAGATCCTCATCATTCTTCATCAAAAACCAAAATCTTCAAACCAATGTGAGTTCATACCACCTATTTTCGGTTTTTACTATGTTTTGAGGGAGAATAAAAGTTGTTTTGTGTAGATCTATGTGTATATGCATCATTTTGTGCGTTTTTCATGATATAAGTGTGATTATGTGTAAGAAACTTCATAAACTTGAAGATATGTTAAAATATGATGATATTTGTAGAACATAACATTTATTGCAACTTATTATGCAAAGAAAAGGTTTTAAACACTTCAAAGTTGCTTAAAACTAAGAAATTTGCATAAGAGGGCCAAAAAATGAATAAAAATAATAAAAAAATGAGGTTATTATATGTAACTCATGTTTTTAAGGGACCAAAAAGGATTTATTTTTGATAAATATGAATCTTTATTGTATTTGTGATTTTAAAAGGGTTAAAAGTGTAAATTTTCATAAATGGGCCTCATTTTGGGCTGCCTTTTGGGCCAAATTGCAAAATTTTGGACTTTTGTTGGGCTTAACTCTCACTTTAAACAAAGTTGTGCCAAAAATGTAAATTTTCGACAAGAAGGACTGAAAATGTAAATTCATTAAAACTTGGGCCAAAAAGATAAATTTATTTATAAATGGGCCGAGAATGCACTTTTTCATAAAACTAAGCCAAAAATGATATTTTTGACAAAAGTGAGTTAAAAATATTATTTTTACTTAAAACTAACCTTAAATGCAAATCTTTGGCCTTAAAGGACCTAATGTGTCATTGTTACGAAAAATGTGCCTTAATTGTAAGCTTTCGGTTTTATGACCAAAAAATGTCTTTTTACAAAAAGCAGGCATTTTTATATCATTTTAGTAAACAACGAAGCTTAAACAACCAACGTAATAACCCATGAATCGATTTTGTTATTGATACTTTTATTGGGTCTGGAATATAATTTACATGCTTGGTGGGCATTGGTTGTCCACTTACATGTTTATTGGGCCTGGAATATACCTTATATGCTTATTGGGCCTGGAAAATAATTTACATGCTTAGTGGGCCTTGGTTGTCCACTTACATGTTTATTACGCCTCGAATATACCTTATATGTTTATTCGCGTAAATTCGATTAAGGATCTAGTGAGATGTTTCATTTGGCATCAAATGAGTGTACAAACAAAGCCTATAGTTATAACCAGAGTCTCCTGAAGAGAGAGCGAGAGTTTGTGAATAGATCTATACGAGGGTGACACCCCACACCTAAGTTGTTCGCTACAGTTAGACTAGCCTAGTCTAGGGTGACAAACCTTGCCCTAAACAAGTCGGCGTCTAACAGACGTCATCACAAGCGAAATTGTTATTATCAAGTATGGTTATAACGGCTCACTTAGAGGAATTAACACCATTATAAAATTTACGGGCAACAATCTTTTGTAGAAAACACAATAACCTACACGCATTGGTACTCAACCTCGGGTGTTGAGATTCCAACATTTTCATAAACAGACAACATCGGGTTATCTGGGGTCAGTCTCTTTATATTCTCATAAACATTAACACACATGCATTAATACAATATCGGACACAAACATATCAAACCGTTTTTCAGAAAATATCAGATTTTCTGGTGTTTACAAAGTAATACAAAACATTTTTCTTAAAAATGCTTATGACCTCACCAACATTATATATGTTGACCTTTTTAAATTAACTTGTATTCTTAGGAAATCGTTGAGCAGGTTGGTCAGCAAGAATACCTGGATTATTTTGTTATGTTTTGTTTTCATCATACTTTGGATATTTTGTCATGTAATATTGAAATACAATATATGATGTAAACCCATGACAATTGTAATATTACATGTGTGATGATGATGATGTAATGTTTCAATTATATACACTGTAATGATACTAAATGAATGAAGTCACCTAAGCCCCCGGACGTTTCCGCCGTCTGGTTTGGGGTGTGATATTTACAGGGACAGGAGATCAATAACCCGTTGTCATTGACAGTATCAATTTTTGGCAAGCTATGGGATATTAGATTGATTCCGAAGTTGTGTATTCTCTTGAAAGAATAAGGTTTTCCGGAAATTTTCATAAAGTATGTTGCTAGTGATTGGGTCTATATTTCTTTTGTATTGGAAGCTGCTTGTAAACGGTTTAAGAAATTTGAGGCGGTTAAGGCTTATTTCTCAGGTTTTAGACTGGTCGTTAATGGTTTTTCGTTAAAGAGCGTGTTATTTGGTTGGAGTTGGTGGGTTTACCATGTTGTGCTTGGAATGATGTTGCGGTTAAAAAGTTGGCTTCTATGTGAGGTGAGGTTTGTTTTATCTAAGAGGATGGGGATGCTCCTTTGGTGGTTAAACGTGTGTGTATTAAGATTGGGAAACCTTTTTTGATCCAAGATATGATTAAAGTGGTTGCTCAAGGTGTTGAATATGGGATGGCGGTGCATGAAATTTCAAATTGGGAACCAAATATTAAAGAGGAAGGAGAAATAGGGTCGGACATTCCGGACCTGTCAGGGGGAGAGGAAGAAGATGCTTGTTTTGATGACAATGTGAAAGATTTTATTGATGTAGAGAATGGCGATAAGGTTGATGAGGGGCAAGAGAACTCTTTTAGCATGGATAATACACATATTAATGGTGTTAGAGGACCTGGATTTGTTGATAGAAAAGGAAGATTTTTCCAAACAAATAATAAAAGAAAAGGTAATGGAGATACGGATGGTGGGTCTTTTATGCCAAACGTTGTTGTCACGAGAGGTGTCGCTGAAAAGAAATGTAATCCGGTGATGCCTTCTACAGTTATGGAGGATGGTTGTGAGCTGCAGGGTGATTCGCCCCATTAGGTAGATAATGTGGAGTTTTGAGGGCAGCCGAATCACCATCACAACCTCCCGGTTATAGACGATATCAATCTTCTACATCTCATGGATCTTCTAAGATCCTTAAAAAGAAAGAAAGTCCCGGTAGTAGTTGATGATATAGAAGATACGTTGAAGCAATATTTTGAAATGGGTCGCCTTCTTGGGGATGATATGGAGACTAATAAGGAACGGGATAAAAAGATTTTATCTACTATTGTTATGATACAGGTGGATCAATGAAGTGCCTTTCTTTAAATATATGTCGTACCCATTCTTTTTGAAAAAGAAATTGGGTTAAGGCGCTTTGTTTACAGTTTGGAGTTTCTTTTTTGGGTTTGCAAGAAATAAGAATGATGCAAGTTGATCTTTTCAAGATCCGAAGTATGTGGGGTAATTATAGATTCGATTTTACTAGTAGTAGTGCTCAGGGTCGATCAGGTGGTATTCTTTCTTTGTGGACACGAACGTGTTTACTAAAACTAGTGTTAATTGTACTAGCAATGTGGTTATTGTGGGAGGCTTGCGGATTCTGTTTAATATTAACTATTTTATGGTTAATATTTATGCTCCTCAATATCTAGTGGGAAAGAAACATCTTTGGGGATATCTTTCGGTGTTCATGAGAAGGAATGGGGGAAACTATGTCTTTTTTGGTGATTTCAATGTTGTTAGGGAAGCAGGTGAAAAGTTCAGTTCTGTTTTTTGCTCTGCTTCTACTCAGTACATTAACGAGTTCATTGAAGATGCTAGTCTTATTGATGTGCATATGGTTGGAAAGTGGTTTACTAGAGTTGATGACATATGTGCTAAACTTAGCAAGGTTGATCGGTTCTTGGTCTCGGATGCGATTTATGATTTTTTTGATCATCTTCAGGTCTCGGTGTTGGATAGGAAATGGTCGGATCATTGCCCTATCCTGCTTCATTCTAATATGGTTAATTTTGGGCCTTCTCCTTTTAAATTCTTCAATTCTTGGTTTTCTCTAGAGGGTTTTGAAAGATGTGGTTAAAGGAGTTGTGGCTGATTTTGTTAGTGGCCCATCTTGGAGTAAGTTTGTTGTTTTCAAAAACAAGCTTAAATTTATTAAAGCTAGGATTTGGTCTTGGAATGTGGAGACTAAGTCGGCTGCACATCTTTCTTCAACTCAGTTGTTGGGGAAATTGGTAGAGATTGACAACTTTATTGATGATGGTGAATCTAGTGATGACTTTATTCATGAAACAAGATGAATTCTTGGAGATTTGGTGAATTTGGAAAAATTCAGAACTTCGGAGTTGGCTCAAAAGGTTAAGTCTACTTGGGATGTGGAGGGAGATGAGAATTTTGCGTTCATTCATGCATTATTGAAAAAATGCAGAAGGTATATGATGATTAAAGGGGTCACTATTGATGGGGAGTGGATTTCGGAGCCTGCTAGTATTAGGAAGACTTTTTTCGATTTTTATGCAGGTAAGTGTGACAACCCGAAATTTCCATTCGGTCAAACCCTAAAAGTCAACCACTTCGTATCATAAGTCAATGTCTTTATTTATTATTTTTAAGAAATATAAAGTTCGTTTGATTATTTTAATATTATTTTTAAACGAACGGGTGAAAGAAAGTGTCGTCTCGAGTTTTGAATTTTAAAAACCGCAAACACCTCCCATCTTAGAAATTCCCGACCAAACTTTTATGTTTTGGGTTAAGAAATCACTCAAAACCGTGAACTCATACCTATGTATGAGTTTATGTGACAACTGCCAATTCAGGTCATTCTTGGACTCATGCATCTTTATAATAACCATTCATGCACAACATGCCATGACCTAGTAGTATAAATTAGGTCAAAAATCTTGCATAAACTAGGATCCAACTAAGGTCTAGGACTAATATACTTGATACTTACAATTCTAGTAAGTTGCTTAGCTACAATAGGAAATGCCAATACTATAATTAGAATAAAGCTTCAAGCTTTGTTATAATTGAAATAGGGTATAAAACTCTAAAAATAAATTAAAACATTCTAATTATACTTCAACATGTTGTTGAATATCAAACAATATTCCAAAAACCCTAAAGAGCCAAAAATCCAAAGTTATAAATTATAAAGCTTAAAAACTTTATAAAATTTGGCTATAAACTTCCTAATATCAAATTTTATTAATCAAATTATGGATTATACCAATGAACTAGAAATATAAATTACAAGTATTAATCATAAATTATTTGTTGAAAACAAGATTTTTAAATAAATCAAATTGCTTAATAAACATTTTATAAAAATGAATGTTTTTATATAAAATATAGGAGGGAAGTTTATAAAGTTTAAAATTTAGGAGAGAGGAGGCCAAAATGCATGCAAAAACCGGCCATCACCTCTCCCCATGCCCTCTCTCTTCCCCAAAACACAATCATTAAGCTTAAACCCTTACTCCACCTCTTCCCTCTTCACTCTCTCACTTCACTCTCTTCACACACTTCACTCTCTTCTTCCCTCTCTCTAAACTCACGAAAATCCTCTCATTTCTCTGCAAAATTTCGAGATTGTGAAGCCCTTGAAGTGTTCTTACTTCTCTCAAGGTCAAAACCAAGGTAAACAACAACATCTTCTTCCATAGTTTCATGGTTAAACCTCTTTTTCTTCTTAGTCTTCTCTACTTTTCGGATTCTATGCCTTTCCATGGCTAGAAATATTTATTCTCCCCTTGTGGTTTGTAGATTCTCACCATAACACAATGCATGTGTTAGAGATGGTGAAAATCCGGGATCAAACCCATGCAAGGAGTGGAAAAGATGCACATATGATCATGTGACATCAAAACCTAATATTTCATGTTCTTCTCCATTTCTTTTGTTTCATGCATGAACAAAAGCATTTAAACCATTTCTAGTACATCTTGGATGCTCATTCATTCCATGCATGTGTTAGAAATCGGGCCTTACCAAAGACATGCATGATGTTCTTGTTGAAATACCCTAATAATGCACACAAGCAAACATGCAATCTGCCAGATTACTTTGTTCGACTTTGAACAGTCATAACTCAGTCATTTCTTAACCAAATCATGATATTCTTTTGTATTGGTTAGTTCCACGAGTTAACTTTCAAACCCAACTGTCTCACTGTAAAATATTAAATATCCGATTTTTAGCAGATTTTACAAAAAGGTTGCGCATACAGCTCTTTTTCTGTGATCACTATTTTTATCTTGCTTAAACAATGGCCTTAAACCCAACCATAAATCTGAGGAAAAATACCTTAGAAACTTAACATATCTATTGAATTATGGTTGAAATTTCGTGGCTTAAAACCTCACTGAATGGACTACACAAATTCATGAACTTCAGCCACATTTACACTTCATGCATTATTGCATACAACTTTTCTTAAATTGTTTGAAATCATTACCCTCATTTCTTTTTCTGAATAAATTTTTTTACATTTTTCCTTTTGAAATCCCTTGCATGCATGAGATAATCTGGAAAATTTCAAGAGCTTTTGTTATTTCTTTGATTTATTAGAATTATTGCTAAAACCAAGGGCATAAATCATATAAAATACTTCCAGAGGTCAATAAATCCTAAATAAATTCATGGATGATCCTTATGGGGAATAATGATTCCCTCACCAAATTTCAGCAATTTTTGTTACTGTTTCATATGATTTCTAATTTTCTTTTATTTAGGACATGATAAATTACAAAACCACTTTATAGGATGTGAAAATTGTATCTAACAATTTTCGCATACCTTACCTGTGATGGGTGACTCCAGAAAATAATTTCAAGATTTTCCATCATGTTTTACTATTTTTCCCAATTTTTGGTAATTATAATAGTCTAAAAATGGGAGAAATAGTTCTGATTATCCAAAATTCATGAAAATTTACCAGGATAGAATATTATAGAGTAGGAGGTTACATAAAAATTTTGAATATTTTTCTCTACTGTAAACTATTTTTCTCTTATTTTCTAAAGTTAATTGCACTAAAATACACTTAAATATACATAAATACCCAAAACCAGTTTATACATTATGAAAACCACTTTTGATATTTTTCCTAGGATATTTATACTGTAAATGATGTTACAAAAATTTATGGTGATTTATTTTAACTGTTTAATATTATTTCTTTAATTAATGACTATTTAAAGGAATAAAGCAAGGAAAAATAGAAATACCCACTGAAAAATATCTTTTATATTTTTCCCAGCCTATTTATGTATAATAACAATTAAATAAAAAGTTTGGGTAATTTTGGAAACTGTTTTCTATTTATTTCAATTTTTATTTAAATAAATGCTCAAAAATCATAAAATATAATTAAACAGCTTGGAAATCCATTTTTATAATTTTCCCAGCTTAGTATTGTGTAATAACAGTTAAATAAAAAGTTTGAGAATTTTTATCCCTCGAATGCTATTTTCGTGAATTTATGTTGTAATAAGGACTTAAAAATTTGGAAAGTTTATATTCCAAGGTTGTAATTAATCGCCCGATATATAGAATTTCATTACTTCAGAAAAAGTGTAACTAATTGATATAAAATCCAATACTAAAACATAAATTGGCATTTCCCTATATGTAGAGTTTAGTATATTAGCATTAGATATCGACATGGAAACTCACTAGTGCGTGTGTTTGATGTTGTAGGATCCCGGTAGTAAGACGTTGGTGCATCCCGAAGTACCGCTTGTGTCTACACAAAACATCATGAGTATTCACGCACTCCCCTATTGTCGGTTTTTATGTTTTGGGGTGGAAAAGCATGTCCAGAAAAACTACTGTTTGCATGTTGTATTTAAATTGAATTGTATCAAACATGATTGCTATTGTATTGCTATGTTTCTTTATGTATGTCTATGCAACACGGAACATGAGAACTTATCGTACTAAGGCCCTTCCCTTATCTCTAACCATTAACTCTTTGAGCCAATGGTCGTTATGGATAGCACTATTAGGAATTGACAACTCCTCACTCGCCCGAATCGCTGGAGTGCATG